AGATTACTCCAGAGGCACCTGCACACCCATGTTTATTGCAGCGCTATTCACAATAGCCAAGTTATGGAAACAACCAAGATGCCCCACTATTGATGAATGGATCAAGAAAATGTGGTTACTTGTACACAATGGAATTTTACTCAGCCATGAAGAAGAATGAAATCTTATCATTTGCAGGTAAATGGATGGAACTGGAGAACATCATTCTGAGCGAGGTCAGCCAGGCTCAGAATACCAAAAATCGTAGTTCTCCCTCATAAGCGGACTTTAGATCTAGGGCAAATGCAGCAATGTGGTTGGACTTGGATCACATAACAAAGGGAGAGCACATATGGGAGATATAGGAATAGGTAGGAAACCCAAAACATGAAAGCATTTGATGTCCCCACTCCAGAGGAACAAATATAGAAACCTTAAAGCGACAGAGGTTAACATGAGAAGGGGATCAGGAACCAGTGTAAAAGAGCAGTTAGAGATAATCAACATGTGTCATAACACATGGGTACAAGAAAACAATGTTAAGAATCTCTGTATAGCTATCCTTAACTCAACTAGCAAAAACACTTTGTCTTCCTTATTATGCTTATGTCTTTTCTTCAACAAAATTAGTGATAAGGGCAGAACAGGACCTGCCTGGATGTGAGAGGGGAGGGGGAAGAGAGTGGGGGAGAGAGGCAGGGTGGAGAAATGACCCAATGTATGAATGTGTGAATAAATGAATTTAAGAAGTTAAATGGCATCTCCCTGAGAAATATTACTGTCATTAGAAGTCTTGAAAACTTCTCTTGTAATGAAGATCTTTGGGTGGCAATTAACAAAACTCTATACAAGCTGGCTTGTTTTTAAAAAATGTATTGGCTCATGTCCTCAATTATAGGAATATAAACAAGCCTTGAAAAGATTAAAACTAATACCCTTTAGCTCTCGTGTCTGCTTCTCTTTGGGCCTCAGTGCATTTTACCTGACTAAGAGTCTCCACTCAGCTGTAACTATAGCCATATTGGCTCCTGGTTCATATCTTCTAAGCTTAGTTACCAGAAAGGGAAGGTTCTTTGCTCTTGATACAGTTTGAAAAGTATCTCAGAATGCTCTGATTGCCTCATTGTGGGTCACAGGAAAACCAGAGGAACAGATCAGTATGATTCGGTTGGATCAAGCATTCATTCCTATGTAATCCCTAAGAGCAAAGAAAAGAGAAAAGTCCATTCAGAATACATGTTATAGGAAGAGAAGCATTTCCACAAATGAGGAGGTATGCCTTTCTCCAAGGAAGTGAAAGCTGGCTGCCAGGCAAAGCAATGCATGTCAACTAAATGTCTAATCCTAAACACAACAGCAACTTATTACTTGAAGCTGCAGGAGCTGGGAAATGAATGATTGTAAAGTAAAAAGTAGTTATTTTGAAAACATTTACATGAACTTATCTGATTCTTACTGGAATTTATCTCAGTTATTGATGCCAAAATTTTTTTCAATCTAAAAGAATGTCTTTTTTTAAAAAAATCAATGGATACTATAAAAATCAGTCATTCAAATAATCATCTTTGATCATTTTACAGCAAGTTACTATGAAACATAAAGGAAAAGTAATTCCATTATAATTCATAATTCAGATTCTCAAGCATAAATCAAGAGAAGGACACACAGAAATAAATAATCACAGAACAGGAAAGCTTTCTTGGAGATGAATGAGAGACTATGTGCAAAAGGACACTGAGTCAGTGGATTAGAAGCTCAACTGGAAGATTTCACTCAGAACCTGAGAGGGGAAAAATAATAAAATGAGAGTTATAGAAGGAAGGGCATCAGAAAAATAAGATAGATCTAGGAGATCAAATAATCAATAGTAGTTTCAGAAGCAAGGAGGAAAACAGACTGAAGCAACTTAAAAAGAAAAAAAAGAAGAAAAAAGACAATTTTCTCAGACCAGATCAAGATTAGACAGGATTCAAGAAATAAGACTTATAACAAGACACAGTATGGCAGGATGTCTAAGCTTTAAGATAAATAAAGCTTACAAACAGGCCGGAAGGTTTTATTAAAAAAAGTTAGCTAATAAGGGACAATAATTGGATTGTATCACCCTTAAACTTTCTTTTTAGTGACAAGAAAAAAATTTCAACCATTCACCAAATGTTTATTAAGTTACTATTATGTGTTATTTAGGGGCTGGAGGTACAGCAGTGACCAAACTAGATAAATTCTCTGCCATGGAACTTACATTCTATTGGAATAAATAAAAGTTCATGGACAGAATAGAGAAAGCCAACTAGAACAGATAATCTGTTATGCCTCATCATATTTATGAAGTGATAAATTAATTGCATTTTCTTTGTGAAATTCATTGTAGCAGTTAGTATTAGGTCCAATTATAGCAGTAAGTTAACAGAAGCTTATATTTCTTCCTGTGTAAGTCCATAGTAAGACATTCTGTGAGCATGATAGAAGCTCAGATCCACAATATCTTCAGAGATCCAGGCTCTTCTGTCTCTAAGAAATGTACCCTGTACATACCCTATCATGTCACATATATATCCCAAACATTTTGGGGGATCCTAGGAATTGTCATTTTAACAGGTATTCCAGACAATCCTAATCCAAGTAGTTTGTAACACATTTTGAGAAATACTGATATAAGGAAATGAGGAAAGGATGAGTGACTCCTAACAAATTGGTAATGAGAGAAACAAAATTATTTCCAAGATTTAAAAATGTATCATTGTGTCAGTTTTTAATTACTATGGCAAATGCCTGAGAGATACAAATTTAAAACGAGGGAAGATTTATTTTGGGACATGGTTTCAGTCCACAATTAATTGGTTACATCACTTTGGGCCTGAGATGAAGGCAAACATTATGGCAGAGAGAGTGAGTATATGGTGGAGGAGTCTGCTCAAACTCCTGGCAGCCAGGAAGCCAGGACACAATAATCCTGTACTCCTGGCTTCCTCCTTATTCTAGTTTTGTTCTATCTGGGCCCTGCCCAATTGGATGGCTCCGCTCACATGCAAGACAAGTCTTCTTCCCTCAGTTGCTATGCCACATACCAATCATCTCTGAAACACTCACAGACACACACAGACATGTGCTTTACTAATCTCCTAGCTGTCTCTCCATCCAATCAAGTTGACAATCACAGATTTACCATCACAATCAGTGAGTAATTGCTAAGAACACAGAGATGCAGTTACCTTTAAAAAGAAACCCAAAACAGTTATGTTTGTCAAAAAAAAAAAAAAAACTTTTAGATAACTTCATATCAACAGAAGCCATCAGTGTTAAAGTGATGATGTCTGTGAATTCACAGACACAGTGGAATACCTAAAAAACAGCCTAAGAGACTTTCCTTAAGATGTGACACCCACAGCTTTTTTACATACCTTTTTAGGAGTTCTCTAACCATTTTGTGAAAAGTGTGGCTCTGCTTTTGTAATTAATCTTTCAAAAGTTTCAGAAGATATTTTGTAATTTTTGGTTAATTTTGTCCTGTGAGTATATATCTTAGAAACACAGGTAATATTAAGCCATGACCACTCATATAAAAAGCTATATGTTAAAAGATTTTGAAGTTAGGGAACTGGGCAAAAATACAAAATAAATTATGGCTTCCACATTCCCATCTCAGTTTCATTCTGAAAGGGAAAACACTGCAAAAGAAAAAAGAAAAACTTAGATCAACGTATCATTAAGCCAAATTTTTAAAAATGGCTAACCATATTTTGCAACATGGAACATTTCTATTGCTTGTCTGTAACATAAAGCAAAATGAATTGACTGTTCCTGTTTACCAAGTGCTTTTTGAAAATTCTACTGGCCCCTGCCTAGAAAAGAGACCTATCTCTACTGAAATTATCTGGTGCCAACCTTGAAGAAAATTCCACAGATCATTACCCCGCCCACTCCCTGGAATATTTTCCCTTCCCTCTTCTTTTTAGTAAGTTGCAGTCTCTCAAACTGCTATTTAATTTCCAAATGAATTCTGCAACTTCAAGTCTCTCAAACAACTAACTTCTCAGTCTGCAGTACTAAAAGATTCCAGACTACTGAAACTATTAAAAGTAGGAAATCTAAGCTCTGCCTAGGATACCGGAGACTATGCAAGCCTTTAGAACTTACCTTAGTTTTTATCTTTTGACAAATGACTTGCTACAGATTTTTTTTTAAAGATCCCAGTGTTTTTAGGTATAATTGTGATTTAAACATAATCCAGAGTCTTATAAAAATGTTGGTTGATTTTCTTTCTTTTTTCTTTGGTAGCACTAGGGTTTGAACTCAGGGCTTCATGCTTGCTAAGCAGGCATCCTACTATTTGAGCCCACCCTGTCTAGATTTTCTTAAGGAAAGTAATGTGGCAAGTTATACATCTTCCAAAATCACACGTTATATACACCTGTGAAAATTTAGTCTGCTTATGCTTCATTTCACTATTCCATTAAGAGGAATTTGAACCTATATTTTTACACTGAGAAAGTAATCATGGCCCCTGCTAAAATGTGTGTGTGTGTGTGTGTGTGTGTGTGTGTGTGTGTAGAAAGAGAGAGACACACAGACAGGGTTGGAAGGAAGGAGACACAACACACACCCATGAGCCTGTTAGAAGCAATGTCAGGAGAAAGTTACCCCTGGTTTTATCTGCTAATACTGCTAAAGAGCCAATAGATGCAGGAAAATATTTTGTTTTTGTTTTGTTTTTTCATATTCAAATTGCAAATTCCCTTAAGCCAGAGACTGCCAAACTGTTTGAGACTAAGCCGCTCACCCCTTCTGCCCATAGTAGCATAACCGCACCTGGAAAGTCGGGTGAGACCCAGAAGCAGGTCCCAAGCCCTGTTCAGGTCCCAGCCACCCACCTGTGCTGTAACTCCGCCTCGTCTCCTCCGCCACGCCCACTCCAGACCGAAATGCGTCAGCGTCACGTGACCCGACAGCGCGGCCAATCAGCGTAGCCCTGGGAGATATTCAAATCGGCGGCGGGGTGTAGAGTGTTGCCGGCCTCAGCCGCCGCTGCAGCGGGTGTCGCCGGGCTCAGGGTCGCCTTCCGCCGCCATGGATGCCTCCGGGCGCTGACGGACTATGGAGGGTCGGGGTGTGCCTCCCGGGCCTTATCGGGCCACCAAGCTGGTAAGAAAGCGCTGAAGACGGGACTGGCCCGCGAGTTGGCTGACACCGTGGCAGTTCCCAGGGCGGCGGATGGGACGCAGGGCCCCCAGGTGTTATGGAGAGCAGAGTGAGGGAGTTACAGGATGGCCACCCGGGCAGGCTGCAGCGTACGCCGGACTTACTGGATGTGCCTGGGGTTTTCCGTGAATAATATGCCGACTTTAGCCTCTTTTCACGTTCCTGGGTTTCCACCCTCCTCAGAATCAGAGAACAATGAAGTTGATTTCCAAAGCTAGGGTCAGGTCGGGACCAAACCCAAATAGGACAGCTGGGTTTATTGGCTCTGCAGAATTCAATGAGGGATGTACCAGTCTAACAGCCCTGGAAGAGAGCTGCCTATTTCACACCAAGTACCCATCTGAAACTTCCTTGGATCTGTCTGGACTCATGTGGTGTTCTATGCTTTGGGATTTTCAGTCCTATATGATACTGTTTATGTGTTATTAGGCGATTGACTTAACATCTGTGAGCCTCTGTTTCCACGTTGGTCAAGTAGGTTTATAATGCATGCCCACCGTAAAAGACTTCCTGAGCGGATACTGTACAGGAAAATGTGTTGTGATCTATAGAATAGCGAGTAAGTTACCCTCTCAGGAATGCTCTTCAGGTGTACGCATGTATTACCACTCCTGCCTTACCAACTCAAACAGCAAGTGGAAGAGCAAGAAGAATGTAGATCTTCCTGGTATGGTGGTCTTCACATGGATTCTGCTGCCCAGCAAGTTGTTGGTTATATTTACCAACATAAGGTATAGGATGTAGAACTGCAAGGACCCTTAATAAGTAGCTCTATCACATTTTTTTAAATTCACTACATTGGATAAAAGTAATACAGACATACTGAAAAAATTTACTGAGTGCTTGCTAGTACTTTTCTTGAAGTAAGTTATTTTAGCATTACAAGTCCATTGGGTAGGTTCTAGTGTCCCTACTTAATGGTTAAGGATATTAAGGTACTGAGAAGTAAAGGCCAAAAGTTCACAAATGGTAAGTGGTAGAGCTAAAGCTGGAAGCAAACACCAGTAGTTAGAGTCCAGAGCCCAATATAAAACTACAGCATACTGCTTTTAGAAAAGCTAATGTATAATGTCCTTAAGTGCAGAGACACCTGTGATTTTTACTCCTGTGCACCCAGGCCATTATGTAAGTTTCTTGAATAAATAAACATAAATTGGGGAGATGTAGGAAGGGGAGAATATAGTTGCTGCTGGGTTTTCAGCCCATAAGTTCTTTTATTTGGTGCTGCGGCAACCACATAGGCTAGATGAGTGGTAACATAGCTATTAGTTAAATAAATAGGGTTACAAATTAGATTTCTTAATCTCTAATATAGGAGTTTCTCAATTACAAAAGTGTTGTGTTCATTCTATACTACCACTACCTCTGTGTTCCAGTGTTAGAGATGTCACAAATTAGAAAGATGGCTGATTTAAGTGCAGCTTAGAAAATATCAGCATTTTTTTAAATAGATATGTCATGGGGTCATTAAATGTGCAATGGGTTTACATTTTACTTAATTTACCTTGTGTATTCTATGTTCACTATAAGCATCTTCATAGAAGAGCTACTAAACACCTAGTATTAAAGGTGTATCACTAGAATAAACATTGCCTCTCAGAAGTTATTTTTTATCTAACACAGCGATTAAGAGTACAGAATATAGAGCCAGTTAAGCCTGAGTTTGAATGCCCAGGTTCATCACTAAGCTGTGTGACCTTGGTTCTTTTTCCTTATGTGAAAAAAGATGTAATACTAATACCCGTTCACAGAATTGTAAGAATCAAAGTGAAAAAATGACTATAAAGCACGTTGCCTGACTTAAATGTTATCAGCATATTATTAATGTTAGTAGAAATTAAAAACAGGAATAAATGCATTCTTCATTAAGGAGAGGGAGACAGGTATGTTGCAGTTCTTATTCCTAGGTTTCCTAAACTGATCAACCAATAATGGTATTGTTTTTTAAAAAATCTGTTATAGCTGGGCATATTTGTGCGTGCCTGTAATCTCAGCATTTGGGAGACTAAAGCAGGAGGATCATGAGTTCAAGGCCAGGATTGGCTACATAGTGAGACCCTATCTTTAAATAAATAAGCAAGATAAAATTTTAAAATCTGCTACATGAAAATATTACTATAGCACTGTAATTAGTAAAACAATCAGTGAGATAAAATTTTATGCAGCACAAATAGGATTATTTCTTCAAGAATTTTCACAATGTAACCAGATGTGAATTAAAGAATTTTCTTTGCCTGATGTATCTCCAATCAATAGGAGACTTTGTTTTTATATAATTTTTTAAGAATATTTCCTTCTTTTTGCAGTGGAATGAAGTCACGACATCTTTTCGAGCAGGAATGCCTCTAAGAAAACACAGGCAACACTTTAAAAAATATGGCAATTGTTTCACAGCAGGAGAAGCAGTGGATTGGCTTTATAACCTATTAAGAAATAATAGCAATTTTGGTCCTGAAGTTACACGGCAACAGACAATTCAGCTGTTGAGAAAATTTCTGAAGAATCATGTAATTGAAGATATCAAAGGCAGATGGGGATCAGAAAATCTTGATGATAACAATCAGCTCTTCAGGTACCGAACAGATAAGTACTTGCAAAGTGAAATTCATATAAAGTTTTATCTCTAATTTATTGTACTTTTACTACAACAGCAGCTTCTTTAAGAAAAGTAATATTTCCTTTAAAAAAGTGTCACTGCTTTTATTCCAATCAAAACCATTTAGAAATGTTGTAAGGTGAAAGTTAAATGCTACAAATTCAAACTTTTTAAATGTTAGATAGTCCATGTAATAAAGTAGGAACGTGGAAGGGAAATTGAGATATTATCACTTCTGCACATTATGAAAGCCTTGTAACATTTCAAAGATATCATCACTGAAGTTTAGTTTCATAGATTCTGTAATTATAAGACAAATTCACAGGTCCTTACCCTCAAATGCCATATAATATAATATTATATTATAATATGTATAATATAGTATATAATATTAGCATAATATAATCATACATAATTATATATATTATATATAATACAATATAAAAATACCCATGAGGAGAAAATAGCAAATTTTATATAACAAGTGACAGAAGAAATAAGCCATAGGTTAAAAAGAATACTTATTATGCAGTTGCCATGTATACCAGAAACTGCTTTATGATTTAACATTTCCTTTTTCATCCCTAGAGTAACTGTGCAAGGTATAGTGTAAGCCCATTTCATAGATGAGGATGCTGACATCATGTTTCAACAAATCTTATTCAGTCTTCCTGGAATTTTCTTCCATCTTGAAGCACTATATGTATTTGTCAGACTAGTAAATTTATACACTTCTTCAAATCTCAGCTCTTTTGTAGCCTCTCTGAAGATTTTCTGCCTCCCTCGGGTTATCATAGTTGCTTTTTCTCTCATGCATATAGCTCTTTGTTAGATAGCCATTATACTAGGTCTTTGAATTCTAATGTCCACTTTTTTTTTTTAACTGCATTATTACTTTTCAAATAATATGTCTTAGAAATGTATTCTTTCCTGTTGTGTTAGTTCATTTTCTGTGGCTATAACGTAATATCTGAGACTAGGTAATTTGTAAAAGTAATTTTATTTTGATTCATGGTTCTGTGTGACCTCACATAGCAAGGCCCTCATTGTAACATCATAGCATGGCAGGAAAATGTAAGGGTGGCAGACATGCAAAAAAAGGCAAAAACATACGGGCACCCATATTTTGGTGGGAACTAATTCAGTCCTGTCAGAGGAAGAACTTCCCAGAAACAAGCATTAATCCCTTCTAATGACCTAATCTCTTAAAGGTAAAGGTCCCACTGTCTGTCTGTATCTATATCTCTGTGTGAAAGGATGGCAGCCTGCCCCACAGTTGCCTTGATGTGCTCCTTTCTCCCCTTTAAATACATTTCAGTAATCAAATCCTATTGTACTCCCTGAATAGTTCTCTAATCTGTACATCCCTCCCTCCAATATGAGTATTTTTGTTAGGTTACTGTTTTTACCTGGATTTCTGCATAACTTGTCAACTAGTCTCTCTGTGTCTAGTCTTTTATAACAATAACAAAACCAAAGAATGCCTAGAAATACTACAAATGTATAAAACATTATTGGAGGAAATTGTAATGTTGTTATTGAAGAGAATAAATGGAGCAAGAGAACCTGTTCAGTATCATAGAGATGTCAGTTATTCCCGATTGATATATAAATTCAGTGCATTTTCACTCAAAACCCCAATATAATTTTTTGTAGAATTGGACAAGCAGATTCTAAAACTCATCTGGTAAAAGCCCAAGTCAGTTCTGAAGAATAAGGAAAAGATAATTGCCTTACCTGGTATCTGGGCTTAAATTAACTTAAAATAATTTAGTACTGAGAAAACAAACTTACATATAAGTGGGAACTTGATATGCAATACATGGCTTAACTACCTAAACATGGAAAATAAAACTCTTGTGAGAAAATAGAGCAAAATATTTGTGTTGCAGAAGAGTAAGAAAGTACTTCTAATGTCACTAAAAAGTTAAGTATAAATTAGCATATGATAAAAGATACCAAGAAGTAAAAACACAAAAGACCACATTTTGTTCCTATGTATTCATTGAAACCATAGAAGCATGGACAAGAAATACACTAACTATAGGGTTATGGTTTCCCATAGGAAGGGGTGAGGGTAGGTAAAGAAATGGAATAAGCAAAGAATTTCTTCCACTTAATAAAAAATGAATGCTGGCAAAATGTCAGCAATTATATTGCCTGATGGTTATAGGAATGTTTTATATTATTTTCTGTACTTTTTTGTATCATTGAAATATTTTATATTAAAATGAAAGGTGAAAGAGCAAGGAAAATAAGCAAAAGACTAAGTTCTAGAAATTAAGATAAATATAGTCAAAGCTGAAAATATATCCAAACTAGATAATTTGTCAAAGGAATTTAGAAAAATGTAGCATTTTAGAGCTATTTTGTAGGTAAGCATTACTTCTCCAACAGAATTGATCCTAATAATAACCCTGAGTTATCTACAATAAATCAAAATATGCCAAATATACTAAAGACAGCAAGAAACTTTTACAATATGTTAAATGTATAATAGGAAAATTGATTTATGTAGAATACTAATTCCTTAGTAATGTAAATAAATTAGGTTCTGTGCATGATTTTAAAATACACTCTGAAAGTTTATTTCTGATCTCACATTATTTAATGTTACTTTTACACCAGATTTCCCACAACTTCTCCACTTAAAAGTCTTCCACGAAGACATCCAGAATTGAGACAAAACAGCATTGAGAACATTTCCAAAGACAAAGATAGTATCTTTAAACTACGAAATTTATCTCGGAGAACTCTTAAGAAGCATGGATTACATTACTCTCAGGTAAAATAGCCTTCTGTTGATCACAACTTTAAATATGATTACCATGTGCTTGATAATAGGATTGTTAAAAATAATTCTTTAATATTTGAGGCCAATACTGAAAGCTCCTAATCTATATTACATTCTAAAAGTATATATGTAAAAATTTTGGAACCCATAGAAATAGTGATAAAAGTAGTAGTAAGACATACTTAAAAATAATATTTATATACTTTAGCAGTATTTTGTCAGGTTATTATTCTTTCTTACCTGGTGTGTTAGTCACCTCTTCATCACTGTGATAAAATATCTGAGAACCAGCTTGAAACTGGAGGAAAGTTAATTTTGACTCAGGGTTTCAGAGGTTTCAGTCCATGTTCAGTCAGCTCCATTAGTTCTGGGCTTCTAGTATACTGTGGTAGGATCTGTGGTAAAGGAAACTGCTCATCTTATAGCAGGAGAGAAGTGAAAGCAAGAGAGAAGGGACAGGGAATCTAGTGCCCCTCTAAGGGCACACCCCCAATAATTTAAATTCCTTCCACAAGGCCCCCTCTACAGGTTCTGCCACTTCCTAATAGTTCCTTAGGTTAGAGATCAAGACACCTGGGCTTTGTGGTAAATTCAAGATATAAGCTATAACTCTGAAATTTCTATATGACTCTTCAACTAATTTCTCTGCCCCTAGTCTTTTATAATGATAACCAAACCACAAAGTGCTTAGAAATAATGTTGACTTGGGTACGGTAAAGACAGAGGTAAAACCAAAAACTATTACCATATATTACATTCTTTTACAAACAACACATACATTGGAGCTCTCCAATAGACTTATATTACTAAAACCACTAAGTATTAAAAGCTGCATTTGTTCAACATTTCCTTCATTTGAGCATAACAAATTAAACCAAAGTAATTCTTTTTTTTTTCAGGAAAATACAGAGAAAAAAAATCATAGAATAATCAATGAAGACCAAGAAAACTCAGCTAATAATAGAGAAATAAGCCAGGAAGATGTTGAAGAAGTTTGGAAATACATTATTATGATCTAGTAAGATAAAATTTTGCTATAATTACATTCCTGAAGCATTTAGATTAATTTGTGGGTTTTTTTCAAAATATAAAAATGAGTAAAAACAGATTAATTCTCAAGGCTTAAAATTAACCTGCATATATATTTCCTAATAAATGCTGTGCTATTGCTTTAGTACAATCGAAATTGAATGTTTTCAGTGAGATTTGCTTTTTCTTGAATTAAAGTTGTAGCTATAGTTAGTGGTCTAAACTGGATTCCTTTGAATGTCTATTGAGATAAATATATTTGAAAATGGATATTAAATATAATCTTTGGAAGTCTGCCTAAATGAAAAGTAAAACATCCTGTTATATTCATATTTACATTCTATTTCAGTTATTTTATGGATTTTTATTTTTAAGTTTGTGTTCTTCTTTTTAGCTTGCAAACCATTTTAGGCTTGCCATCCCTTGAAGAACTCATAAATCCAAACCAAATAATACCTCAATATATAATGTACAACATGGCCAACACAAGTAAGCATGGAGTAGTTATCCTCCAAGACAAATCAGGTAGGTATCAGTAACAAAAGTTGGAACCTTTTCAAACTCAGTAACAATGGTTGCAGCTATAGGAAAATTTGGGGGAGACCCAAATGTAGAAAGTAGATGCTTTCTACAGAGGGTGTTTGTTTTATCATCATAGATGCTTCAGTAACATGGTTTAACTTTTAAGTGAATATTATTCATCTACTATAAGAAATTATTTTGCTGCCTAGGTGAATTCATACTTGACTTTAAAAAAAAAAAAGTCAAAATTAAGCATCCCAAAGGCAAGCAAACATAATAAAAACTATTGATTAATCAATTTGTGTTGAGAGACTACAATATTTCAGACATCGTGCTGAAGATTTAGTGATGAGCAAGATAGAAATGGAGGCAATTAAGAATGTAAGCAAGCCCCACAGTAAAACTACACAAATATTCAGGTATAGTTCATTGCAATCATAGTCTAGCAACAGACAGAACCAAAACAGGAGTGAAGAGGAGATAAAGATGAACATTAGGAGTTTATATCTGAATGTCCTCCCAAAATAACCCTTGGTTTGGGCATAGCTAATTGTTTTATGTATTGTGAATGGAGTTAAACTCAAAATCTGTACAACTTTTTCAAGCTTTTGTATTTTAAAATATTAACCTGTCCCTATATCATGTTAAACATATGAATTTTCATCCTGGTAATTACTCACACACATGTATACATCCATGCACAATTACTTAAAAGTGCAAAATTTTAATATATACTATCATAAAAATTGTGTGATTTGCTGTATAGTGTTTATTAATTTGTGTGTGTGTGTGCCTAGATGACCTTCCTCACTGGGTGTTATCTGCCATGAAGTGCCTTGCAAATTGTAAGTTAAACACATAAACTATATGTTTTATATTGAAAGTATTTAACAAGAGTCAAGAAACTTTTAAAATAATTTATGAAAGTCCTAATAAAATTAAAATATATTATATCTTTCATTGTTTAAATGATAATAAAGTGGAACTGAGTGTATTGTTGAGCCTTTAATACCTGTTATGCAAAAGATGATTTTATAACTCAAGCTCACCACTTATGGCTCAGTTCATGTAAATCATAAAATCATAGGCTCTAGGATTTCAAAGGATTTTTAGATAAAGTCTACACTACAGTAATTGCCTCAGTGAGGCCCAGAGGATTCAAATAGCAGCTTGGAGGTAAGACATTTATGCAGAAAAAGTTTAACCAGAAATGATGTTTAATAAACCCCACCTTTTGTCCTCCTGACATTGTACATGGCTTCAATATTCAAATGCTTTATAACATGCTTCTATTCCAAGGCATATATTAATAAGACTTTTATGGCTGTTTAAAAAAAATATGTCATTAATCCACAAATCATTTTTTAGCATTTCATTAATCAAGCTTTTCCACAGTGATCAGTGATAATTAATATTTATAACTTAAGACTGGGTCAAGTACAAAATCCTAATTGCTTTCAAAACAGATTTTAAAATTTTTCACAGGTATATGCTTCTAAATCATAGAAAATTAAATTGTATTTTAATAATTCTAGTTATAAGTATAGTTGTCTAGTTCATATAAAATTAGTATTTTTTGAAAATACTAATTTTTTAATGTTCAAAATAATTATTTATTCCTTTGTTGTCCACTGGGTGTCAATATGACAAAATAGCAGAATAAATAGTGATGAAGTAAATAAGTTACAGAAGCATTTTATTTATGAAATTAAGGTAAAGATCCTGGTTCAGCTTAAGACTTCTGAGTTTCTTTTCCTGCCCATCCAGTTGCCCTTCCTTGGTTCATGGTTAATAACACAGATAAGCATGCTTATAGGAATTTCCCTGACATCCATCTTTAGAGATTTTTGTCTTCCTTCTCTTTGCAGTCCATGTAATATCTAAATGATACCAAGTACGTAACTTACTGGATTTCAACACAATAGCCATAACTAGAGACCATATTAAACTTTTACTTTACTTGTTATTTATTCCCTCAGAGTATACCTGTGGTTATAGGATATAGGAATCAGTAATCCATATTCTGTCCCCAATTTTTTTTTTCAAGAGAAAACTAAGATTCTGAGTCTTCCGTTAATTAATGTGAGGGAGCTAGAGCTCAAACATAAATTCTTTAACTATAAATTCTTTATTTTTATTCCCAGTAAATAAATCTGTGTTTTCTGTTTTAGAAAATTTTCTAATGATTATCAAATACTTTATTCTACATATTAAGGATATTTCTTATGTCCTCAGAAAAATATCTGGTTGGCTTGACATAAAATCTACCAGCCTTTAAGCTATTGTGTGTGGGTTTTTTGTTTTTTTTTTAATAATTTTTCAGTGTGTGTGTCATACAAAAGTTCAGAGACAGAGAAGTAAAAAAAAATTATTCAGGTTTAGGAAGAGATTTTTAATTTCACAAATAGTATAATGACTCTAAAATCTGAAAGTATGTTATAGTCACTAGAGATACACTCCAAAGACTTTGGTTTGGTTTTGATTCAGTAGATTGAGGAATTTTTTTTTTCTTCAAACCATGCTCCAGAAGATTCTTGTAATGAAGATTCCCGAGTCAATGTTTAGGAACCACTAATATAGTGAACCAGAAGCAAACATGTCTAGGCTTTTAAGTTTCTAGCTGCACCTGGATGGATTCTGGCCTGTGTACAGGAGATTGTATTTTTAATAGGTGAACTAGGAGATTCTGGTGTATGTAAACCATGGGACCACTGAGTAGTCATAATTGTTCCACTAATAGTGTTAAGCTTTAGAAAAATTAGTCTAAAGATAGTATTTAAATTCATTAGGGTATCCTTCATGTTAGGCAAGTTTTTTTCATAAAAATATAAATTTACAAAAGGTAATTTGGAAGAATTACTCTGATTTACAAAATTGTAATAAAATCTCATTATAACACTTTCCTAATGCTTTTTAAGTATATTAAAATTTTTGCTTTTTAAGTAGTTTTTCAGGTATTAAAATAATGTTAAAATAAAACAAAATGCTGTTGACTGACTGTTTATAGTGATTTCTAGTGAAAAGACACTGGGAGGGCATTAGATGTGAACAGCCCTTTAAGCTTTTAGATTGTGGTAGAATTTGTTGTTAAACATCGCTCCCACATGAAATACAAGTTTATACTTCTTGTAAGTATTTTTTAACTGTATTTAAATTATAATATATCTTGCCTATTTGTTTTGCCTTCTAATTCTTAGGGCCAAGAAGTAATGATACAGATAATCCATCTTATGTTGGATTTGAGCGAGATGTATTCAGAACAATTGCAGACTATTTTCTAGATCTCCCTGAACCTCTACTTACATTTGAATATTATGAATTATTTGTGAATATTTTGGGTATGTATAGATTTTACGTATTATTTAAATTTATTCTACTTAAGTTTTCTAAAAACTTAAAAATCTAAAAGCATAGGTAGATGTGAAAGTGACAGGATATAAGTTATTTCAAAATTCAATGATAATTGTGTTGCTGTGTTTGGTCATGTTCTAATGATTCAAGTATGTTCTTCCAGCACCACTTATCCCAACGTCACTGAGTATCATTACAATTCAGTGGAGTTCTGACACTAACAACCCAGGGTTAACTCAGCTCTAACAGATTAAGACTGACCTCACTTCTGATGCTGGCTGCAAATGATATCCCCTACATACTGCCCACCAACTACCTATTCAAAGTTCACTCAGACCCCACTCAGGTTTAGTAATCCACTACAACTCACAGAACTCAGGAGAGCACTTATGATTATCAGTCTGTTAAAAACAGACAGGAACAGATTGTAGGGAAGAGATGAATGTGACAAGGTGTGGAGGTAAGGGGAGGTACAGAGCCTTGGAGCTTTCAAATAAGGCCACCCTCCCAGTACATCCATGTGTTCACCAACCCAGAAGTTCTCTTGGCTTCATTGCTTCAGTTTTAATTGAACTTTCATTATCTAGAATATTCTCTGGCCTTTGGTGATTGAACTTGATCAATCTCCAGCTCCCTTCACGGGGGTGCAGGGGGTGTGGACAAAAGTTCCCCTCTAAGCATGGTCAGCCATGAGTTACTTTAGCATAAATTCAAGTGTGCTCCAAAAGGCTTCTCATGAATAACAATATTTTCAGCACTCAGGTTTCTGCATTCCATGGATTCAACCAGCCAAGGATGAAAAATATTCAAAAAGAAATTGCAGCTCTACTGAACATTTGCAGACTTCTTTCCTTGTCGATATTCTCTAAACGCTATAAATAGTGTTTATATTGTATTAGGTATTGTAAGTAATACCTAATGGTTAAAGATGGCTTTAACCTATGGGAGGATATGTTAGGGAATATACAAATATTACAGCTTTACATAAGGGACTTACATCTGTGGATTTTAGTGTCCATGGGCAGTCCTGGAACCCCATGGATACCACAGGATAACTGTATATGTACTATTGTACCACAGTTGTCATTATATAAGTATAATTAATAGTACTTGCAGAATGAGATGAGATACTTTTTAACTCTCTGGCCAATCCATTTAATTAGGCTGTTAAAGTAATTTTTTAAATTATTTATATCACAAGTGGGAATATCACTAGTCAGTCTTGCACGTTTATAACTGAATGCTGCATGTGTCCTTTTTAAGTGGCTTCTGAATTAAGCAACTGCTGTTGTACTATACTAACAATGTATTTATACACTATGGCAATGCTTTATTTTTTAACTTTACTATGTTTTTGTTTTATTTTTGTCCACTGTCATACAGTTGCATCTTAATTTTTGTTTCATTTCCTGGTAGTTGTTTGTGGCTACATCACAGTTTCAGATAGACCCAGTGGGATACATAAACTCCAAGATGATCCACTATCTTCAAAAATTCTTCATTTAAACAATTTGAATTCCTTCAAATCAACTGAGTGTCTTCTTCTCAGTCTGCTTCATAAAGACAAAAACGAAGAAGAATCAGATTCTACTGAAAGACTACAGATAAGTGATCAAAGATTTCAAGAAAGATGTGATAAGAAAATGCAGCTAGCTAATTTAAGAAACAGAAGAGCCAGTGCTAATGATGTAATGGGAGGAAGTTGCCATAATCTTAATAGGCTTAAGTAGCATGCACGTTCTATCTTCTAACATCAAACCCAGGTGCTCTTCTTTGGAAGAATCATAGACATGCCAGGGAATTCAAATAAAAAAGTGTCCAATGCCTTCCATCACTCTATTCTGAACATAGAAGGACAAAATAATGAGCAATTTTTAGAGTCAAACCCCAAACAGGAATCCCTATTTAACCTTCATTCGGAGGAAAGTGTTCAAAAGCCACTCTGTGTTGGTGTTAAAAGAACCTCTGCTTTGACTGTTCAAGACCAAGAGGAGTTATATAATGGGCAATGCAAGTCAAAACAGCTTTGTAGATCTCAGAGTTTGCTTTTAAGAAGTAGTACAAGACGGAATGGTTATGTCAATACACCAGTGGCTGAAATTATCATGAAACCAAATCTTGGACAATGCAGTGCAAGTGTGCAAACAGCTATGGAAAGTGAACTTGGAGAGTCTAGTACCACAATCAATAAAAGACTATGCAAAAGTACAATAGAGCTTTCAGAAAATTCTTTACCTCCAGCTTCTGCTATGTTGACTGGCACACAAAGTAAGGTTGTTGCTTTCAATGCACGCACTATCAACTCTTAGTGTTTACTAACTCTGTCTGCTTACCTGCCTTTTCTTGTCTTGAATTGCTTTTTTTTCCAAAAGAAATTATTATAAAAGATTTTTTGTCATGATATAACCAAGATTTATTCTACCTACTTAAAGCACTTATTTTCTTTTCCTTGAATTTCTCTTGTTCTAAATCACTTTAAAATAAATGATTTCAATAATAATAAGAATCTTACTATGCCTTTGAGGAATGTGGAAACCTAGAAATAGTTAATAAAAATGAAGTACTAAGGTATTATTTTACCCTCTTCATATAATTCTATCTGCTGATCACATGAAAGCTAATGTCATTGATCATTTGTCTTTGGGGGGTTGATTTTGCCTTCTAGGTTTGCTGCAACCTCATTTGGAGAGAGTTGCCATCAATGCACTACAGTTATGTTGTCTGCTACTTCCCCCACCAAACCGTAGAAAGCTTCAACTCTTATTGCGCATGATCTCTCGGATGAGTCAAAATGTTGACATGCCCAAACTTCACGATGCAATGGGCATAAGATCACTGGTAAGTTTATTTCTTATAAACCCTGACTCATCAACCAAAAAAAAAGAAGATCCAAACTACCTGAAAGTACTATTCAAGAGATGTCTCGGCCTTGAAGTCCAAGATTCTTAGGTTAAAAAGGCTCTTGTTTAGTCTACCTTTCCTAGCGTGAATGTGGGTGCACAAATCATTTGTGCCCAATCCATTATACCTTCACATCCTTGCAGTAATCTTTTTTTTTTGCAGTACTGGGGCTTGAACTCAGGGCCTTCACCTTGAGCCACTCCATCAGCCCTATTTTTGTAAAGGGTTTCTCAAGATAGGGTCTTGTGAACTATTTGCCTGGGCTAGCTTCGAACCGTGATCCTCCTGATCTCTGCCTCTTGAGTAGCTAGGATTATAGCCATGAGTCACCAGTGCCTGGCCCTTGTAGTAATCTTAACAGAGGACATTGCCTTCTCACTCATACTGTATTACTTCATAGTGATTGGTCCAGACAGTCAGAGCAGATTAGACTGCCTGTGTCAATTCTGTCTGATGTGAAGGGAAGAGGAGATGTAGATACTGTTGAAAGCTTAAGGTTGCTATAACGCTGGAAGTAGAGAGTAGTGGGAAATTCTTGTATAGTAGTTAGTGTTTCAGAGAACATGGTAGTAGGAAAGTTGTATTTGATGACTTTTGATTGCATAGCAGATCATTGTGGACAAAAGTTGGGAGACTTGACAGGCAGTCTCAATATTGGGCTGCTTGGAGAATGAGGATACAGGTGTTTGTATACAGATACTGATTGGAAATGAATCCTTGAAATAGTCAAGTTCTCTCTCTGTTCCTCTCCTCTTCCCTCCCCTCCTCTCTGTTTCTGATTTTTTTGAGAACTGCCACTTCCTTGGACTGTAGCATCAGTTTGCAAAAGGTTCTCACCATAAGAAATCTGGAGCTATGCTCTGTTCTTCTCATTACTATGGACAGTTCAATAATAATGACAGACCTAATAAAACAATTATTCTATTTGGCAATTATGGCATTATTAAAAAGCATAAGAATTTTGTAAAGAAAGATGTTTTCAGAGATATGAATGGAAGGTGGTATTTTTGGTTTTAAAGTTATTAGGACATCCAAGTGAAATTTATCCAACAGAAAATCAGAAATGGAAGCCTAGTGAGTGAAAGGTCAGGGCAGAAGGCAGTTTTTTGAGTGTTCCACATAGAAATGGCAGTCGCTGTAGAGAAAGAGTTAAAGGCTGAGGACTGAGCCTTGGAACTAGAAAGAAAAACCTGCCTGACATACAGGAATAAAACTAAAAATATTTCAGTTCAATGAACATGCTGGTCATTTACTATGTGCAGATATTTGAAATAGAATTCTAATACTCCTTTGTTTTAGAGGGAGGTATGTGTTTGTTGTAATTGGTGAATTATACGGATATGTGGGAAAGTAATTAGTTTGAGGCAAAATGTTTTCCATAATTTAAAGATTTGTATAATGGAATTAAAAATGTGTGCATTAAATTTGCTATTTAATCTAAAGCAGATACCTTAAAGCAACTGAGGCCAATAGGAAAAGGGGACCAGGAACTAGAGAAAAGGTTAGATCAAAAAGAATTAACCTAGAAGGTAACACCCACACACAGGAAATCAATGTGAGTCAATGCCCTGTATAGCTATCCTTATCTCAACCAGCAAAACCCCTTGTTCCTTCCTATTATTGCTTATACTCTCTCTACAACAAAATTAGAGATAAGGGCAAAATAGTTTCTGCTGGGTATTGAGGGGGTGGGGAGGAGAGGGAGGGGGCGGAGTGGGTGGTAAGGGAGGGGGTGGGGGCAGGGGGGGGGAGAAATGAACCAAGCCTTGTATGCACATATGAATAATAAAAGAAAAATGAAAAAAAAAATAAATAAATAAAGACGAATAGAATTGCTGGTGGAGTGGCTCAAGTGGTAAAGTATCTGCCTAAAAACTAATAGAATGAGCATTAAAAGCTATTTCCCAGAGTTTCAAAAGATAAATAGTGCCAACTTTGGAACCTCTGCTGAATATGTGTTCTTCATGTGTCACAATCGCCTGGCTTGTGCTTTTGTGGAATTCATTTAATGTGATAAGTCCTTGTTCTCTAGCAAACTTTGATCTTAAGGAATATATCTTTTTGGTGTAAAGAGAACCTAATGTATTTACTGATAAAATTGTGACAAAATTTAAAAACAAAACAAAAAAAAAACATATGTAATCTTTGGAACTATGTTAAGGAAATTCTTTTTTTCTTTTTTTTTTTTTTTTTATGGTACTAGTGTTTGAACTCAGGGCATCATGCTTTCTAGGCAGATGCTGTACCACTTGAGCCATGCCCCAGCCCAAGGAAATTTTTAACAAGTACTTTTAAGATCTTAAGCGTAATAGAATTCTTACCTCTCTAACAGTCATAACTTGTCCTAATGTTTAAACTAAAGTCTGCTTATGACTTTTTCTCAGTATTGCACATAATGCTACCTGAAAATTACTGCTAATCTAATTTACATGAACCTTATGTTCTTGAATTCCTATCTTTTGATGTGTCACTAGATGATACACACTTTTTCTCGGTGTGTGCTGCGCTGTGCTGAAGAAGTGGATCTTGATGAGCTTCTTGCTGCCAGATTGGTTTCCTTCTTAATGGACCATCATCAGGAGATTCTCCAAGTACCCTCTTACTTACAGACTGCAGTGCAGAAACATCTTGACTATTTAAAAAAGGGCCATGTAGGTATCATGAGTCTTAAAAATCTCTGCACTGGTTATTTGCAAATGGCAAACTCTTCTCAACCTAGCCCCATCAAAAAGGGAGACTTTATTAGCTCATATAAATAATCTCAAAGTCAGGAATATAGATGGAATCTTGGGACTCAAATAGCAAAGGAAAAAGAGCTATCCCTTCCCTTCCAATTTTAAAAGTTCTGGATAGACTCTTGATTGGCGCAGTCTAGGTTGAATGGGCATCCTTCAGGTGTTTGAGGGTAAGTAGGATGAAAAGAGCCATATTCTGACTAGCTCTTTATAGATAAGAGCAAAATTTGTTCTTCAAAAAGATGAGGATAGAGCGGGATAGAATGGAAAGGAACTGTTAATAAAAAGCAGAAAAAGGAATACCAAGCAGCCAAAACCTGTCGTCAGGCTTTGGTTGACAAGCACATTTGTGGTTTGGTTTTTTTTCTTTTTTTCATATAAACCATTGTATTATTGTCGTGGCTTGTTGCAACCATAACTGTCTCCTTTACCTTCTCTCTCATGTCAATAGTTATGTGCCTGTGTCCGTAGGCTTCAAATATTTTAGATAAATGCCTTATTTCTAAATTCAGGATATTGATAGATTAAGCTGAATTAAAATATTATTTACATTGTTACTGTTTATACTTTAAATAATAAAATCCATGGATAAGAGTGATGATAATAATGGCTACCTTTATTTAATGCTTAGTGTGTGCTAAGCACTTTATATACATTTTCTCATGTAATCTCCATTTTAATGATGTAACTTGCTGAAGGCAAAGTTATAGGGCTGAGATTTAGATCCTACTGACTTTTATCACTACTCTACTGCGTAATACATAGTTTTCTTAATGTGATGAATGTTTGCTGACAGAATTATAGGTACTATAGCCCATCGAAAAAACATGTTACCGAATAAGAGCATGACCAGAATTAACAGATTTTTACTGTTGCATTTTGTTCACTACAGGTTAAAAACCCTGGAGATGAATTAGTTGCTCCTTTGCCAATTTATTCTTATTGTGAGCAAATTAGTGCTCAGCAGTTTGATGAACAAAAAATTTCTACCTCTCAAGCTGCAATTGCAGAACTTTTAGAGACTATTATTAAAAACAAGACTTTACCTCTAAAAGAGAAAAGAAGAAAGCTAAAACAGGTAAGAGAATGAGTAACTTCTCAATCATGTAAATATTTTCTAATATGCTATTAGTGGCTGTGCTTTAATAACAGTTAAATCTAATTTCTTATTTAATAGTTTAGATTTTAAATTTTGGATATATAGGCTATATAAACTACTTTTAATGTATATGAGTACTTCGATTTTACTCTTTATCCTAAATTTTAAAACAATAACAATATTAATGATAGATGCTCTCCATTGTTGCTGGCATTTTGTATAATTATAGCCAGGATTAGCCTGGAAAAGCAATTAGAAAATCTGCATTATAACACGTATCTCTAAGTGACTCATCCCTACCATTTAGAATTTTTAACTCTAAAGCATAACCCAGTAGCCCCAGAATTCTAGCAAGAACAATTCCAAGTCTGAGACATTCTAAGAACTATAAACTGTACCAAATCCTTATAACTTTCATGGGCTTTCCCAATTGAAAACAAGATCTGGAATGTAAGAGGAGAAGTAGCAGTAGAAGAGAATCCTAGAATTTAATGCTAATAGGGAGATTGTACATTGTACTCTTCACAAATACTGAAAGAGAGGGAGAGGCAAGGATAAAGTGAAAGGGTACTTGACTGACTTCCACCAGGGAAATAATGTTGAATATCTTCTAATTCTTCACCTCATTTTTAAGTTTCAGAAGGAATATCCTGTGATATATCAGAAAAGATTCCCAACTACAGAGAGTGAAGCAGCACTTTTTGGTGACAAACCTACAATCAAGCAACCAATGCTAAGTTTAAGAAAACCAAAGCTTCGTAGTCTAAGATACTAATTAAATCAAAAATTATTTGATAAATAAAGCTATATCTGAGAATCTAATTTCTTTAAGAAGTCTGCTGTTAATAAGGTTTCTCTAAATAAACATTTGTAAAGTGAGGCCAAAGTAGAATTTGGGGTTTTTTATTTTTGATGTTTTGTTTTGTTTTTTTTAAATCAATGTGAGACTGCTGAGCCGCTACTGGACCTCAGCTTAGAGGACATAATGGTAGGTGATACTAAATATTTTAACCAGAAACAGTCTTTTGTTTTTAATGCAATTGTGTAGCAAAGCTACTATGATTGTGCTAAATTTTTATTTACTTGAATTTGAAAATTAAGCTGTGTTCATCAAGATTAAGCTATAATCCTTTTTTTAAAAGAAAACTATCTACACATGTACTTATGTGTATATTAGGCAAATAACTAGTTGATTAGGGTTACTTCCTTATTTCTAAGTGTGAAAATATGAAAAATATTTGAAACCACTCTTGGATATCTTTTTTCTACTTTTGAATATGTGTGTGTGTGTGTGTGTGTATTAATTATAGGGTTTTGAGAGAGGGTCTCACTATGTAGGCCAATCCTCCTTCCTCAGCCTCCTAAGTACACCACCATACCTGGCTTATGTATATGTTTTAAAAATATGTTCATGTAAGAGTTTTGTTTTTACTTAAACATTATCCCAACTGCTTCAGTCATTCATTTTTCCCATAAATATCTTTTTGAATTCTTATGTTTATAATCTACTAAAAGATTAAAAGATATAAAAGGAGTGCAAGGCAATCATGTATTGTCTAAAACAACATTATCAACTGAGATAATGAGAGCCTTTCATTGAACCTCACATGTTGGTTTTCGGAGTTCACACTGCTTCCTCCCTCTAGTCACCATCTTGGATCTCCCTCATTGTACCTTACATGTTGGGACAGTGATGAATACAGCAAAATTTCTCAAGGTATTTATTTTCCAATCAAGGGAGATACACCAACAGATGCTTAAAATAACAATATACTAACTGAAATCAAAGCATGGGGACTATGTCAGCTGAAGATTAGCCTTTCTGGTTATGGAAAGGTCTTTACTTTAGTGACTTTCAAGCTGGTGCACCTTGGGATCACCTGAAGCATTTTAAACAACCTCTATGTCCAGGGCCCAGCTTACAACAACTAATTCTGTATTTGAAGGATGCTATATAGGCATTGGTACTTCTTTGTGTGTTTGAGACAAGGTCTCACTATGTAGCCCAGCCTGACTTCAAACCTGCATTCCTCCTGCCTCGGCCTCCTGAGTGCTGGGATTATAGTTATATGCCACTACATTGGGATAGGCATTGGTACTTTTTAAACTATGTAGGATATTCCATTATTCAGCTAAGATTGAGAATCAGTGCCCTAGATTCTTTTTACAAACATTTAAGTAAATGTCAAGATGATGGCTCATTGACTGTTTTTTCACTGGAAGAAAATGCCAAGTATAAAAGCCTCTCAACACAAGGTTCTCCAGATTCCTGTCTCATTGACTTGGTACAAACTTGAAGTGATTTTTTTTCCATTTTTTCTACTCCAAGATTGTGTAATATCCTTAAATGTAATGTCCTTAAGTGTAAAGATATATATTCACATATATATATATGATACGCATAATAAATTAATGATTATTCTGTCTTTCCAATGAAATTTTATTTTATGGATACATATAGGATGACAATATTCCATTTTAATTGTTATTTGGACAAAAATGATTAATATACGTTTAGCCCAGAAAACATAAATTATTGGCCCAAATTGAATTCTTTCTAAGGTGTTTGCATGCTAAAACTTTTCCTGTTCAAAAGTATGTGATAATGTGAATTATGTTGCAAATTAGGATAAAAAATTGTGATTTTTGTAATAATTTACCTTTGTTTTTGTATTTATTTACATTAAATATGTAACTATTATAAAAACAATAAACTTTAATTTGTATTAGTATGCATACAGTTGAAATCGCAAAATACATTGTATGACACTTTAATAACAATGTCTGATGTCAGATTTGAATCCTCCTGTGCTATTTATTAGCTGATAACCTGAGAAAGTATTTAACTTCTTTACGTCCCAGTTTCCTTCAGTTATCTGTAAAATGAACATTATAATGGTGCCTCTCTTAGGATCCTTGTGAGGATTAAGTAGGGTAAATGCATGCAAAGTGTTTAGAACACTGTCTGACATAGAATAAGCATTCTAAAAATTACTAGCTAGAATTGTAACACCAGAAAAGATCTAATCAAAACTGCAGACCCCTCAATTGCTTTGGGCAGACATGAACCAAGACAAAATTATGAGCAATGGTATTAGTTATTTTTGAGTGGTAAGACAGTTTCTGGTTGCACATAGTGGTTGAGAATTTTTGATCTAGTGGAGCAGGAAAAGTTGGTAAAGAAGGAAAGAGTGGAGCAGTATCCTCATCTGAGAGTCTCTGAAAGCATATGGATCCAGTGCACAGCTGACAGTTTAACTCGTGCTGGGGCATGGGCAGATTCAATTGTAATGCAAAGAAAGCTGAAAATCTTTAAATTCAAAGATAGACTGGTTGGTTATTTTAATCTTAGTTGTAGGTAAAAATTCTTTTCTGATTGCTTTTGCTTTCTCAGGAAAATAAGAAAAACATCTGGGAGTAAAGTGGATATGGGTAGAATATCAGATGTCGTCTGATTACTTTATATACTATAGTTCTGATTCCAGAAATATTTGCTACCAATTGGTATCATATAATGATCCACTCAGTATCCAGAATTATGTAGCATTTACCAGGGCAAAGTACAGGGAGTTTCCCACTGAATACCTTTCTGTCTTTGGGAAACTTAAACTGAGCTTCCTCTTCTATAAAATGTGAATAAGAACATCTCCACAACCAAGTTGTGGTTAAAAGCAAAAAGCCAACATGTGTGTTAGTAAGCTTTCTATTACTATAATAAATACCTGAGATAATTTATAAAGGAAAGAGGTTCATTTTGGCTCAGTTTTTGAAGCTTCCATCTATTGCTTTTTATCAGTGCTGAGGCAGTACTTATAGCAGGAGCATATAGAGAAGGAAAACCACTCACCTTATGGCCAGAGAGGAAGAGGCCAAAGTCCCAAGGGCATGACCTCAATTACAGGAAGACCTTCCACTACACTCCCACCTCTTAAATGCTCCACAGCCTCCCAAACTGCAGCACTCGAGGGAGCATGGACCTTTAGGGGACATTTAAGATCCCAACTATAGCAATATTTGTATCTTGAACCTAGCAAGTCCATTCTCAGTTCTTAAGTTCTTTCTTCTTGCTTTGTATTGACTTTGATAACTCCTTTACAAGTTCTGTCTTGAACATGAAACCCAGAGTTCAAATCCCAGTACCACCAAAATATACATAAATATATAAAGTTCTGTCCTGATATCTTGTAACATAATGTCTGTTCTATTAATGGTAATATATTTTATCTCATGTCTGGTGGAATGAAAGATAGTTCTGCAATTTCTGTCACAGTAGTCTGAACCATCAATAGATATTCCACCCTTTGATTTTGAAGGCAATGTGTGTGTGGTGTTACTGTTGAAAGGAAACATTTCTAGGAAATCGATAAAGGATAGGTAGTTTTAATATTAAACTAAGTTGAAGAAAATAAGTTCACTAAAATAAATAATACTTCTAGAAACACTAAAGCAACTAAGAATCATTCATCATGAACTCTTGCTAACAATCTTATTGACTCAGAACTAAAAAAACGGGGGGGGGGGCACTTTAGCTGTTCTTAATCTTCCCTGAAAACCTCTCAAAAAGTGTACTGAGCTATGCAGGAGGTCATAGGCTCATAGGTAGGAGAATCATGATCCACGGCCAGCCTTGAGCAAAAGCACAAGACCCTATCTGAAAAATAACAGCAGAAAAGGTCTGGACACATGGTTCAAATGGTAGAGCACTTGCCTAGCCAGCATGAGGAACTGAGTTCAATCCCCAGTACAAAAAAAAAAAAAAAAAAGAAAAGAAAGAAATGCAGGTCATATAAGACAAATGAAAGCAATGTTGACTTTTGCTCATTATAAAAACAACTTTTGTACCAGCCTACCTTCACATGTATTATATAACCTTTGAATTGTTCTTCCTTTCATAAACAACTAGAAAACCAGACAAAATGTGTGAAGCAACTACTTTCAGACATCAGAGTACAGGTGATGCAGAGATAAGATTCTTGAGAAAAGAAAAAAGGTGAATATTATGACTGCCCCAGATTACTGCCTGAGGCAGTTACCAGGCAAAGGAACCAAAATAAAGTGTACTGGTCTTGCTGTATACAAAGGAGTTGAGGATGACTGCAATACTGCAAAAGAATATGAGCTCCAGAGATCTGCAAAGGGTTTGGGGTTTGGTTTGATTTGGTTTGGTTTTATAGTATTAATTTACAGGAGATAAAGGAAATGACTTAGGTAGTAATTAACAAGGCCAAAGAAAGAATGTCTGGAGGCAAAAATGAAGTTAGACCTCTTCTCACCATATACAAAACCAAAATGTATCAAGGACCTACATGTAAGACCCAAGCTAGGAAACTACTAGAAGAAACCACAAGAAACACTTTAAGACTGGAATAGGCAAATATTTTTGGATAAGATCCCAAAAGAATTTTCAAAAAGAAAAACTAGACAAATAGAATTATATTAAACTAAGAAGCTTCTGCACAGAAAAAGTAACAATCACCAGTGTTAAGAAACAACAAATCTGAAAAAGGTATTTACATCTATTCATCTAACAAAGGGTTAATATCCAGAATATAGGAAGAACTCAACCCAAAAAAAGCCAACTTAATTTAAAAATGAGCAAATTATCTGAATACGCATTTTTCAAAAAAAGATAAACAAATGTCCAACAAGTATATGAAAGAATGCTCAACATCACTAATAAGGGAAATACAAATCCATGAGAGGATATCATCTCACCCTACTTAGATGGCTATTATCAAAAAAACAAAAAATAACAAGTGCTAGCAAGGATGCAGA